CGTTTATTATGTAAATCTTAACCGGAAGTTCTTCCCCACCACTCCTAATCTCAACCACCATCACTTTTCTTTTTTTCTTCCATTCTTCGAATTTTTTTCCTTTCCTTTCTTCTATTTTATTTGATTTTGTTTCATTTCATTTTATATTTTATTTTATTGTATTTTACAACCATCAAACCCTTATATAACCCTTCGTAAATTATTCACTTCCGTTTTCGTGCTCGAAACGATATTCTAAACGAATTTAGAAATTCGTTTAATAACGAATGTTATTAAGGTTTGTTTAAAATTTTGATTATTTTAAGGTTATGTTAGAAAATTACCTTAAAGTATTATTTTTATTATTTAACCTCTTTGCGGCATAAAATTTCAGATAATAAAATAGCCCTATCTTGCATAGAAATTTGATTACGTTTTAAATTCAACAAAATTGGTATATTTTTTTGTTAATAAAAGGTATTACTTATAATGTAATAATGTAAAAACATAAAAAAAAGAGTTAATAACCAATTTTTTTGCGTAAATAAGACGAAATATAAACTTATGAGCATGTGTAGCTATTGCAATAATATTTCGAGGTGGGACTAAAAATACCCCACCATCGTGGCATTACGGTGTATCAAAAAGGTCGGACATTTTTAATCCCACTGTGCCCCCAAAGAGTTAAGTTAGAACATAACCTTAAAATATTATTTCTTAGAGATCAAATGTTGTTTCATTTTTTTTTTTTTTTCATTTGAAATTAAACTATACCTTGTTTTTATTTATATGGGTGTGTAATTATTTTAGAATAAATTTTATTATAATTATATTTATATGTGTGAGTGTACATGTATCATGTATATATGTATTAATAAATAATTACTTTTTTATTTTTTGAATTAATGAAAGTATACGTGATTTTAGGTTAGGTTTATTTATAACCTATAGAGTGACTTGTTTTAATTTAGCATTATTAATTATTTATTGTAGTATTTTTGTTATTTTTATGCTGAATATTATTTTGAAAAAAAAAAAAAAAATAAAAAAATGTGTCTGTATTAATGAATAATTACAAGTTGTTTTTGAATTAATGAAAGCATACGTGATTTTAGGTTAGGTTTATTTATAACCAATAATAGTCGTATAAAAATCGTGTTTTAAATTAAAGTTGTACAGTATCATTTTTTTGTTGTTGTTGCTTTTTAAAGAACGAATTTCATGAATCCTTTTTTTTTCTATTTTTTCATTGACATATTTTAGTTTTAACAGATGTTTGTCCTTGAAATTAGAAAGGGTCTTGAATTTCTTAGAAATAGTTAATTAAAAAAAAAAGAAAGAAATCAATGGATTTGTGAATTTGTAATTATATTATATTTAGTAGATAATATATGAATTAATGAATAAATGATGAATTATTATTATTCGTGTTAAATATATATTCTTTAATATTGTTTAACGAAGAGAAATTGTTCATAAAATGTGATACTTAACCTTAAAACGTAAAATTAATTGGTTATCGTTAAAAAATAAAAAAATAAAAAAATATATTTTTCTAACGAAACTAAAAGCACAATTTAGAAGGAGATTAATAAAAGTAAATGCGTAGTAATAGTATAATTAGTATTTAAGAAATTTAAATTTGGTTATTTTCCTTTTTGAAATATGAAAATGATAACCTTCAATTTATTTTAATTACAATGGATATAAAATATTTTGACCATGAAATTAGAAAGTTTCGTAAATGCTAATTAAAATTGTATTTAAACTTATATACGTACAAACACAAGCACACATACACATGTAGTATAATTAATTATTAAAATATTCTATGATCAAGAACAAAAAACAAAATAATAAAAAAACTATTAATAAATTGTCATTGAAATAATGAAAAAAAAGGAGCAAAGGTGAAAAAAAAAAAAAAAAAAAATATAGAAAGAAAAAAATCAGGACAATGTTTCGAAACAAAAAATTCATTGAAATAAAATAATAATATTATATTTAATAATAATCTGAATATTTTTTATAATGTTAAATTTATAATAAAATTATTGATTATTGAAAGTTAATTGATAAAAATTGTAATTGAGATGTTTTGTTTGAAAATTGAATTAATTTATAAATATAGTGTTATATATACATACATGTGTATGGGGTTTGTTTTTTTGTTTGTTTGTTTGTTTGTAAATGGTGTTTGAGGTGAACTGAAAACATATATGATACGTGATGATATTTCGCGATATACAAATGGTCGAGACAGGTGACAGGTGTTAACATGGAAACGATAGTGACCTTAGTCAAGGCTAGCATTATTTACATTATGTTTTTGTGAATAAAAAACAAAGACCTTAAAAAAAAATAATTGTGTCTTCAATTAGATCATAAATATATTCTCAAATTCGTGATACTATTTTATTTACTATTTCATATTTTTACTATTCTTATATAACAAATCCTATAAAACGTGTGTTTTAAAAAAAGTTTCTTTTTATTAGGTGGTTCGTAAAGTCGTTTCGTTTTTCTTTTGTAAAAATGAAGATAATTTTTGCTTCGAGGTTAAACCTAAACCTTTCAAGTGGTCATAAATAGTTGAATTTGATAAATATAATCTCTCATCGATCTCATGTGTTACTATTTGTCGGTTTGCATCAACTAATGCCATTATTGCGTCAGCAAAAAACGAAACGACTTTCCGAACCACCTAATAAATTATTTAAAAAAAAAAAAAAATAAATAAATAATTTATTCCTATAATTTAATTTTATTGTAAATAATTTTTATTTATAATATAATAATTTAATTTGTATTATTTGGTTCATCGTCAGAGTTAGTTACAACCATTGGGAAAATAAAATTATGTAAAAACTAATGAAACTTAAAAAAAAAAAAAGAAATATTTTGACCCCTAAAAAAATGGCGAAATAAAATAAAATAAAATAAAATAAAATAAAATAAAATAAAATAAAATGAAATGAAACGTAACAAAATAATATAAAATTAGAAATGATAAATTAAAGAGTTTCGTTATAATTAATGGCGTATAAAATACGTATACTAATTAAACCGTATCGTTGATTAATAACTGTTTACAAATATAATTAGGAAATTAAGTAGGAAAACAAATTACTTTTGCCATTAGTAATTGGTCCGTTTGGTATTAATTACGAAATTATAAATGTAATTAGTGATTAAACGTGTAGTTAATTGCACAAGTAATTACGGTACTTGTTACTACTATTTCTCTATATTTTTTTTATATTTTATTTTTATACTTATTTCCTGTCTCTGTTTACATCTTTTATCTTTTATCTTTTTTTTTTTTTGCAAAAGATGAAAGAAAATAAAACTCGTATTTGAGGTTAGCTTGTCGAATAGAAAAAGATTGGAAATTGTATTTGAAAAAAGAAACACGAGGATGACGACGAAGATGAAGATGAAGATGAGGATGAAGATGAAGATAAAGAAAGATGGAATAAACTTTAACAAGAAATTGTGGTAGAGAAATTCTACTACTTCTTGGTAACAGAATTTACCTTCTTTTACCATAATGAGCGCAACAGCTTGCACTTATGCGAGTTAGAGAAGACAACTCTATGTACACGATAAGTTTTTTTTTTCTTATCATAATTTTAATCTTACTCAATTACTTTTCCTAACCTAACATAGAATCACAGATTTATTTTAACCAATTTTTCACTTCAAATGTTTTAATAATACGAATTTATTATTATATTTTGTTAATTTGTATTTTATTTAATTTTTGAATATTTTTTTTTATTTAATTTTTATTTAATTTTTATTTAATATTTTGCATTATTAAAAATAATTTAATAATATTTTTTATAATAATTACGCGTGTAATAATTTTTTAATTAATATTAATAATAATTTTTATATTGAATAAGTTAATTTTATAATTTTTTTATAATAATTACGCGTGTAATAATTTTTTCATTAATATTAATAATAATTTTTATATTGAATAAGTTAATTTTCTAATTTTTTTTATAATAATTACGCGTGTAATAATTTTTTAATTAATATTAATAATAATTTTTATATTTAATAAGTTAATGAAGTTTGTTTTAATTTCATTTAACTACCATAATGATTGATAGATTATTAAATTATGTCTGTTTGTGTGTGTGTTTTTATCATGATCGATCATTTTTTGATGTTATTTTAATTTTTAATATTATTTTCCTTGTTTATTTTTTTTTTTTTTTTTCATTTTGATAGAAAAGTTTAAACAATTTGAATATGATTGATGATATTTTATTAATATTTAAATGAATTTAAAATAATTGAAATATGATTAATAATTTTTCAATGAGACAATCTCATTAGAAATTTTTATTCTAAAGACGTTTGATTATTAATCATTTAACAAAATCATTCTATATTTTATTTAAAAACAACAAAAATATAATTAATAATTTGTAATCAAGATATACGATAATAATCATTTGCTAAATTCACTGAATATTTTATTTGAAAAAAATTAATTAATAGAAAAAAGTTAGATATTAATCATTCAAATAGAACAACAATAAAACTCATGAAGAATTCTATAAATAATCAATTGAATAAATAAAAAATAATATTTTATCGTTCGTTCTATTTTTCTTTTTAATTAATCTAACGATAAAAGACAAATAATTTCATCGTAGATATATTTTCTGCTAACGAAACAAAAAGCATTCACAGAAACAATTCGTGAAAATAAAAAAATTCACAAATTAAGTCCTCCGTCGGTAAAAAGTAAACATTGCAATCATCACCATATCTACCATTATTATTACAATATAATTATTATTATTTAAACAAAACAACAAAATATGAAATAAATAATCTTCAAAATATCCAACTAAAAAATAATCGAAACATTACAATTTATTCATATAATAATTAAAACATAACCTTAATCATGTTCCTACTTTATCGACGGATGATTAAAGAAGAAAAAAGAACAAATTAGTTGAAATTAAAATAAGAAATGTATAAAGGAGATCACTTACTCTTAGTACATCCCTGAAGTATGGGCTACAGGCCGAAAGGACAACCTTGTGAGCAGTGAAACGGGTATTGTTTGCAGCGGATAGTGTCACGTCGACGAAATCCTCAACATCCTTCAAATGACGGAATGAGCTAAGTATGCTCGAATGAAAATCGTTCCACCTGAGTGAGTATTGCTGCTCGCCAATGGACGAAGAGGCCGCCATGGCGTCCGTCCACTCGGGACCCACGGCTGAGGGCACCAAAGGTGCTATCGTGCTCAATCTGACACCCCGATTCAAACTCTCCCCCTTCTTCTCCCCCCTCACTTTTTTCGATTTATTTAGTTTTTCTTTTTTTTATCCTCTTCCTTTCTTCCCACCTCTTGTGTTCTTCTCTTCCTTGATTGTAAAATATGTCTCTCTCTTTTTTATATTTTTTATTTTATTTTTTTATTTCCCTTCTTCTTCTTCTTCTTCTTCTTCTTCTTCCTTTGTTTATATTCTTTATTGATTTTATTTATTCGTTTTTTTTTGTATTGTTACTACGATAAATAAAAAAAATAAGAGAGATATGAGGGGTGTGAAAATGAAGAGAGGTGAAATATAAAATCAAAATAAAAAAAAAGATGGAGGGGAGGATTTAACGAGAAATTTTTTGTTGTTTCAACGAATTTCTTCTTCCTTTTATTCTCACCCCTTCGTAAATGAGATCTCGATTTTAATTTTTTTTTTCACTGTCACTTTAGTCGAATGAATTTCTTCACTCTTGAATCACAAGTTTCACACGAATTTTGGACAATAGTAGTTGGCTTATTTTATTTTATTTTATTTTTTTTTTTAATGTTAAGATTATAGGCCAACCACTCGTCTTCAGTTTTTTCAATGAATTTTAATAAAATACTTTTTACGTTCGAATTATTATGATTATTATTATTTGCAATAGTTGTTGCAAAATAATTAAGGCCAAGATTGTTTTTTTTCTTTTTTCTTTTTTTTTTTATATTCGACGTAAAAAGGATCAATTAAAATAAAAACAATTAGAAAGTGTCAAATTGTAATTGTTTAAATGAAATTTTGATTGTTGTCAATAATTTTACGAGAAACAAGAACAATTTTTTTTCTTTCTTCTTCTTCTTTTTCTTCTTCTTCTTTTTCCACAACGTCGTGATGATAAAATTAGATGATTTTTTTCTCAATCTTATTATTATTATTATTATTATAATTATCTCATCGATTAGAGAAATAATTTGTGTCAAAATTGTGAAAAGAAAAATCACTTAATTGAAATGTTTATAAATTTTCTCAACCACATTTCATCAAATGCACGAATAAAATTAAAACGCGACGAGGACGACAACGTTGACGATGACGATATCGTTGAAATTAAGGACAATGACGATGAAAACGATGACGATGACGATGAAGACGATGATGATGAAGAACGTCTCGTCATTCCGTCATAAAAATAATACGTGAAACTGAACGATTAATCCTACGAATCTTATTTCTTTCTCTGACAACTATTCTTTCGAGTTCACTGCATTCGTCTGCGGCACCTGATTCTCTTCTCAAGGTCGCGTCCTTGCTTATCATGCCCTCTTGAAAAGACCAAACAACGCACACCTATGACGATGGACGATGATGCCTTCTTTTTCTTATTTGATCACACTATTATTATTAATATTATTATTATTATTATCTTTTTTTCTTCTTCTTCTTCGTCGTCTTTTGTTTTCTTTACGATCCACTTTAATTTTATTTCGTTCGATCGTTTTTTCACAACTTTTCAATCAATCCCCTTTTCTTTTTTAATTTGGTTATTTCCAATTGGGGTTCCACACCAATGTCTGTAAAAAAAAAAATAATATTCGATTAGTTTAAATAATCGTTCGTATTTATTATTATTTTAAATCATTTCGTATATTTATTAATTCTATATTTATTGTTTATGATTAATAATTATTTAAAAATGGATTGTATAGAAATTTAAAGTAAAAATAGAAAAATAATTTTTATATTATATCTATTTTAACTTAACCCCATTTTTTTAAATTATTATTATTATTATTATTATTTTTATTATTATTATATTCAGAGTAGTCAAATTTTGTACAACTGTAATCTAATAATAAAATTATTAAAGTATAACCTAACATTTGCAAAACAAATTGAATTTAGAAATAAATAAATAAATATTATTATTATTATTATTATTATTATTATTATATTTAGAGTAGTTAAATTTTGTACAATTGTAATTTAATAATAAAAATTAAATTAAATTAAATTGTGATATACTTCAATAATAAAATTATTAAAGTATAACCTAGCATTTGCAAGACAAGTTAAGTTTAAAATATAAAGAAATGAGAATAAATATTATTATTATTATTATTATATTTGGAGTAGTCAAATTTAGTACTATTGTAATTTAATAATAAAAATTAAATAATAAAATTGTGATATATTTTAATAATAAAATTATTAAAGTATAACCAAACATTTGCAAGACAAATTAAATTACAAATAAAGAAATAAATATTATTATTATTATAATTATTATAATTAGAGTAGTCAACCTTTCTACAATTGTAATTTAATAATAAAAATTAAATAATAAAATTATTAAAAAGTATAACTTAACATTTGCACAAGTCAAGTTTAAGTTTAAAATATAATTAAATGAGTATAATTAATTTTATTCTTGATATATAAATATTATATTAAGTTAAGTAAAATTTTAAAATATAAATAAATGAATGTACAGTTTTATTCTTGATGTAAAAATAATATTAACGAAGTACAGGAAAGTCTTGTTTTAATGAACGTATGAATTTCAAACGATTACACCCCCTACCCCACCTCCTTCCGATAGTCATCCTCTTTTGCATTAGCTTCATATCGCATGAACGTACATACATAAGTACTCTTATACACGTATATATACTTATATATAAATTGTATATGACTTTAGTAGTCCGATTCAGTAGTTCAACTACGTACAAACGTACATAAAATCGAGTTAGCGATTTTCCATTAGGAATAATTTATTGATTATGTAATAGCAACAATTCAAGTAACGTGGAAAAATTTTTTTTTCCTAGTTCTATAAATATATATATATGTGGAATATATTTTTGTATTCATCGAAATACGAACGAGTGTGCGTATACATTTTTTTTTTAATGTATGCAACACACGAGTTTATGTGTGAAAAATTACCTGTCAATTTTTCTTTTATATTTAATTTAATTCTGTTTTTGAAATTTCGATAAGCAGGGGAGGAGAGGAAGAGGACAAAGAAATGCATTTGCAAAAAATGTAAAATATCATCGTGAGTCGAATGAATATTACTGACAAATACCACGATAAAATGGTTTAACTATTCGCGTGTAATATGAGTAACGTGCATTCGCTATAATACTTTTAGAATCAGGATACACATACAAACATATATACATGTATGTGTGTATATTACGTGTACACAAATATATCTATCCACGCCTACGAATTTCATGATATTACGTTAAAGTATAATCGACAATAATTTAATCATAAACTTGTTAAATATATAATAACATATCATTTCTATTCATTTCTAATGAAGATCTATATTCATTAATTTATATTATTTATGCATATATAGATATGTATATATTTTTTACTAATACGAATCCAAATCATTGTATATATTAAATATAATAGTATTAAATTAATTAGATGAATTAACTTTTTTAAGTTTGTGTTTGTAACATAACCTAACAATTACATTTAAAGCAACCTCTCAGAAAATAATTAATTTATTTTATTTATATATTAATATATATATATAGATTATGTGTCACGTTGTTTGTCCGCAATGGACTCATAAACTACTGAACCGATTTTAATCAAATTTTGCACACTGTGTGCAGTTTCATCCAACTTGAAAGATAGGGTAGTTTATATCTCAATTTATTATTGCAATATTATTTTATTGCGAATTATTTGTTTATTAACAAAGAGTCATGATTATCTTTGTTAGTTCGATAAGATTCTAATAGATGGCGGTATCAATTAATTCAATGACTTAAAGACGTGTGTATCGGACTGATTGTGAGCAACAGCAACGCGTGGCGGAGCACCCCTAGTATATATATATATATTATATATAATAGTATTGAATGAATTAGATAAATAAATTTCTTCAAGCTTGTGTTTGTAACATAACCTAACAATTATATTTCAAATAACCTCTCAGAAAATAATTAATTTATTTTATATATATTTATTTTTGATTTGCAAAAAATCTAAAATATCATCGTGCCTTGAATAAAAATTACTGACAAATACAACGATAAAATATAT